TTGGGGGGGGGGGGGGGGTAGCGCTCCCTAGTCCCTATCAAGAATTTTTCATACCTAAAATTCTAACCTGAAACTTATGATTAAGAGAGAAGTAGCCTCATCCAATGTGTTGATGGTATCAAATAAAAGTTGCAGAGACAAATTTCGGATTTCAAGCTAGCGATAGAGAAAAGATAATAAATCAACATTTACAAATTAAATAGATAAATGAATTTGAAAATTCTGCAAATTAAAGTTTTGAATGGTTTTGTTTTGATAATGATATCTGAACTAACGTGCGTACATCTCAACTAATTCTACCCAATGAACTAGCACCAAACCTTGTAACATTCCAAAATATAGAGATCCTCGCCTAAATTGGGATTGCTATGTTTAAATCATTTACTCTTACTACCGTGTTATAAATCATATTATCTATGTGAAATTAATTTTGAAAACAATACTACAAAATGAAATTCCTTTTACATAGATTTTTTTAAAACTCAGGATAACCCGCAATCGCTATCATCTCTGTCATAGTCTTTGTCCTTCGGGTGAGCATTTTGTGTGCACGGGTAAACCCCCCAATATGTATATGTAATAGCCTACAAACCACATATGAGATGTAAATCGCACTAGGCAAGCCCTACGTGATAGACTCGATTCAGAGAATCGATCAGAGATCATTCGTGTGAATGGGCCCCTTTTTTTAAGTAGTGGTTGAAGTTTAAATTTGTAGAGAAAAAAAGACAAATAAACCTTTCATTTTCATTACTATAAATATAAATAACAAATTAAATTAACAATAAATGAGAAAGAACCGAAAACTGGCACCTAACAACAAATTAAGCTGCTTGAATGAGATCACAAAAATACCATAAAGTTCAACCATAAACCTTAGTTTTTTTTGTTTTTTTATTTTTTTATGAAACAACATAAAAAAGAAAAAGAAAGTATAATAAAAGAAAAGAAAAGAAAAAGAATGAATATACCAACAACCTCTTAAATTCACTAGTATATATTGTTCAGACAATCTAATTATGACATGTTCTAACTAAACATCAGAACACATGCTAAAACATTTCTATTAGACATTTCTGATGCAAAATTTAGGAAAAACTTATGCGCATGTTTCAAACATTCATTACATTTAGATAAGTTAATTATTTAAAATATATCATCTACTTTAATTAATACACATTAGACTAATAAATCGTAAAACTTAAAGCTTCTTTCAATTGTCATTGATTTATATAATATAAAAGAATGAGACATATTTTAAACTTACATATCTACGTAATGATAGACGGAAACACATACAAAACTTTTTTATTATATAATCAGAACTCAAAATATGAATATTTTATTATGTGTTCGAATGTCCAATTAAAATATATTATAATTTGAGTATTTAAATAAAATTTACTAGTAAATTTAGGAGGTCGGCGATATGTATTCTGTCAAAAAAGAAATGTACAATTTTTTTTAAAAAAGGAAAAAGAAATTAAATAATCTTGCCCAAAAATGGGTAAGTTCAATGATATCGGTTCGAAATTAAATTTGTTCTAATTAGTGAAAAATTTAGTTGAACTTTTCAATCATATTAATGCTTACACCAAATTAATTCATAAATAACAGACCAATATTTGATAAATCAAGAAAAGTGATAGATACATTGTATAGAGAAAAGTCAAATGAGTACAATATTTTCTTAACATGCATTATAATGCTAGTTAGGTATTTTGAGTTTTTTTTCTTCATATATAGAACCATGTTAATGCTAATTGGGTATTTTTAGAAGTTTTTATAACGTGCATGTTTATCCTATACACCTAATTTCTTATATTAAGAAATCATTTTTACACTTGAAATCTGCTTTGTCATCTCTAATCAACAATCGTCTAGAAATAACATGTAATTTTTTCGTTTTTTGCACACGTAAAAGTTCTCCAACCACCCAATTTCTTCAAGAGACTTGTTAAAGACTTGGTTTTCATAATGCCACATCTTTTTTTTTTGGGAATTAAATTTTGAAAATCAGGTTTGATCATAGAATTTTAAAATTCAATTTGAAGTTAATTTCAGAAATTTGAAAAATACCTAAAAACTATTTTCATCTCAAAAATATATTGATACGTTTTTTAAATACTCATAATTTTCACGATCAAACGTATTTTTCAGTCCATTTCAATTGAAATTTTAATGACTAGTGAGTAAGGTAGTTGGATAGTTGGATTGATACCGACCCCTCTCTCTAAATGATCCACCATTTTCATTCTTGTCCTTTTCACCTATCTGTACTTCTTCTACTATATAATAACAACTTGGGATCCTCCATCCCAACTTGACTACTTTGTCGCTTCATTTAAGTTCATCTTAACGTAAATATTATGCACGATAAAAATACTCGCCACCTACTAGAATTTTAGTGATATTATTTAATGATGTATAATTCTTGTCAAGGGCGTGGTTGTAAAGTTTTGATATTGAATTCATCTGAATTTGATATTTGTAATATGAAAGATATAGCTATATGTAAACGTTCAAAAAAATCACAACATACATAAGAAATTTCATTTTAAAATATTTATTAAAATTTATATAATTTGAATCGGGACATAAGAAATATATGGCTGAA